CACTCGGCAGCGCGTTGAGTTGGGCGGCGCCTGTTGTGAGATGACAATGCTTTAAGCCCTTGTGGAGGGCGAGAATGAGAAGAGGATGACGAAGCCGATGCTCGATAGAGAGGAAGGGCAGAGCTGGATTTCGTGAGAGGAGCCGGCACTCGATGGAGACCGCGATGCTTTAATAATTGCCTTGCAAGAAACATTGAAGGGGTTTATAACCCAAAAGTCGGTGTCAAATGAGAAGCGAAAAAGAGAAAACACAAGAGAAAGAGGAAGCAATGGAAAACTACTTTGGAATACAAAAGAAGAAGCTTGAGATTGATGAGGCCAATACCTAATGAAGAGCCAAGGAAATGGAGGGTCAAGCAAAGAAAGGTAGACCTCGCACTACTCTCTGAGGAGGCCTGCATCATGGGGGCTGACTTGAGAAACATGACCCCAAAAAAAGAGCTTGGTTTGAGAAGAGGCAAAGTTCATGATCGATCGAGATGCATGATCATCTTATATTTTGTTTGTTTTGCATGAACTATGAGGCCGGAGCACACGAGGGAGGGCTTGTGCGATTCATTTGGTGCAATGTTACTTGACATCATGGCATACAACATTCTCTTGGTACTATGGAGAAAATGCTAGATTTATTTGCTAAGTATATATTGCTATCCCAGCCAAACGAAGAAAAAAAACCGGGTAATCTTTTTTGTCTATTTATTTAAGGGAATTTTTTTGTCTGATTGGGTCGGCCAGTTGGAGTTGCCTACAAACTTAGAAACATCTTTCATGGCTCATTCAATTTGGAGGAAACCAAAACGTAGGAATTGGGAATAGTACAAGAATTTAATAGGATGACACTTGCCATCCTAAGAAATTGAATAGCCTTGTTCCTACGCGCAAAATGAGTTTTGAATGGATGCGTAGTTTTCTCAAAAACACAGAAAATGAGCTGTGAAATTTACGCATTTCCTACAAATCGAACGCGTTATATAATTTTTTTCTCTGAAATCCTTGTTCCCATATTTTTTCTATGAAAATCCTTCAAACCAAACGAGGCCTCAGAGTTAGCAGGCCAAATTGGCATGGAGCCCCGCTGCGAATAACCATCCCCTGTCCGGCCCAGCTTTGAAAACCTCGTCGCCTACCTGTTGCACACTTCCTTCGAAAAATGGCCGCCGCCGCCGTCCTCCTTCGCGCCGCCCTCCGCCGGAGCCGCCCCGCCGCGGCAGCCCTCCTCCTCCCCCGTACCCTTCCTTCCCCGCCAGTTCCGCTACCTCCCCCTCCTCTCGGTAAGATTCCGCTCCCCTCCCAAACCAAACCCTTGAACCCTCCTCGTCTCACCGTCCAGCTCCCCGATGCAGCCTGTGCTTTACCTCTCCTCCCGCGCCTTCCATTCGCCGCCGGCTTCCCGTACTCCACCGTTGCAGAGATATCGGAGGCCCCCGCGAAGCCCAAGGGCAAGCCAAAGAGGAGCCCAATGAAGCAGTCCCGCGTCGACTTCACCAAGGTGGACGCGGCGCTTCTCCCCACCATCATCCTCGTCGGCCGCCCCAACGTCGGCAAGTCCGCGCTCTTCAACAGGTGAGAGGCGCCACACGCGCTTGGTTCCCGCGTAGCTCCATGCTCCATGCTCCATGCTCCATGGGGTAGCCATTTCCACAAGCACCTTTAAGGCACCACGTCTTCTTACAGATTTCATTCAACACGCACTCTCCGTTGTAATTGCGAAGTGCTCGTTCTGGCTTGCTGTATGACATTTGCACAAAATGGTTGCTGTCATCTTCGTTGCTGTAGCTGCATATGGTATATTTCCTCAGGCAGCCCTCTGTAAGCTTGCACATGCACGGATGCACCTATATGTCTCCAACATACTGTTCTTTCATACTCTACTAGAAGGATTAGGCGCGCTTTGCTGCGCCATTTATGTTGTTGGGATTTCATAGTGATCAAAATTGGTTTGACACCTGGGGAAGATAGTGAAGTGTGTTTTCTTTTTTTATAATACAATGTTTTGATGTGTTTTTTTGGCAGTATGATTTTGTGTTATCTGCTAATCAACCCATACATGGAAAAGTTTTCAGCGTTCGTGAATGCACGTACTATATTAATGCTACAGTGCACGTGTTGGCACTGCTTTGTTAGTTGGGAGGGTGACAGGGTGTATGGGACAGATGTGTTTCTATAGAATGGTTGTTTCCAATTAATTTGAGAAGTTGTCGATCCAGTCAAAATCGTGAATCAAATCCAAAATTAAATACCTCAACTGAAAGAGAGAGCTCCATGAGAAATCGTTGACCCGGTAGAAATCGAGAACCAATGAACTCCTCAATTGAACGTGAGAGCTCCAAAATTAGGCAGCATAGTGCATTGGATAGACGATGAAAGAATTAAAGAGAGAGCCCCTTAAGTCATTGACCCGGTCAAAATCGGTGACCCAATTTTAAATTGGAGACCTCAACTAAATGTGTAGCAACTCAATTGAATGGGAGGGCTCTAAAAATTATCTTATTAGGGAGCATGATGTATTAGATGATAAAAGAATCGAAGAGAAAGCCCCTTAAATCATTGACCCGGTCAAAATCAGTGATCCAATTCCAAATTGAAGACCTCAATTGAATGTAAGGCCTTAAAAATTAGGGAGCATACTCTGTCCCAAAATAAGTGTCTCAACTCTAGCACAACTTTGTACTAAAGTTAGTACTCCCTCTGTAAAGAAATATAAGAGGTAGGGAGTACAAAGTTAAGACACTTATTTTGGGACGGAGGGAGTAGCTTCTATCTCTTCCGTGCTACATACACCTTGACACCATTTGGTTGCCCTAGCCTGCACTATGACATAGTACTACTTTTGATAAATGACAGATGTTACTAACAACCTATTATTTTAAGTTATAATGGCTTTATGCGAAGAAATTACAGCCTACATCGTTTTCCACTCTTATTCCATTCACTTGTTTTGTACGTTGTACTGATTTTTTTGGATGAATGTATTTAGATTAATACGGAGGAGGGAGGCATTGGTGTATAATACACCTGGAGACCATGTCACCCGCGACATCCGAGAAGGAGTTGCCAAGCTTGGAGATCTCCGTTTTCGCGTGCTTGACTCAGCCGGACTTGAGACTGCAGCAACATCTGGGAGCATTCTTGCTCGGACGGTTGATATGACAGGGAATGTGTTGGTCAGATCTCAATTTGCCATTTTCTTGATTGATGTGAGGTGAGTGTGCTTTGGTTTGTTACCAACCTATTATCATTGGAGTCAGGTTGATAAGTTGATACTTGTTGTATAGTAAAAGTGTAATGGCTTTCTCAGGGATGGTCTACAACCGTTGGATCTTGAGGTCGGGCAATGGCTGCGAAAACATGCATCTGGTATACATACCATTGTTGCAATGAATAAGTCCGAGTCACTTGATGAGCATGGAGTTTTGACCTCGGCTGCTGGAGAAGCCCACAGGTTGGGTTTTGGTGACCCAGTTGCAATATCTGCAGAGACAGGCCTTGGGATGGCAGAGCTTTATGAGACACTCAGGCCATTGTTTGAGGAATACATGTTTCAACTTCCAAATAGTAAGTTTGTAGCTGTATCTTCAATGACTTTGGTTCTGTTAGTATAAGATATTTGTTTTGATATGCAGTGACTTACTTGTAGTTCCTCTTATCTTTGCTTTCTTCCAGTACTGTACTGATTGATAAAACTGATACACTATTCATAAGTGTGACGAATTTGCATAAATAGAAGATTTTCAGCTAGGTATCAGAATTGCTTAAAAAATTGCCATATCTCCATCCACTAATCCTCTCCATAATGGTTCTGTTCAAGTAGAAACGGAGAGGTTTGGGCATTATAGTTTATAAATCAGTGGCAACAAACCACCACCTATTGAACTTTGAAAACAGTATATTCCGTTTTCTCAAGCAATAAGAGAAGTTTATGATCCTGTACCGTTAATTTCTGGAGGGAAAACCATGATGCCAATGTATGTAAATATCATTCTTGGTTTTGTGTCACGTGATAGATGGACTAAATGAAGATGACCCTACCTCCGAGGCTGAGGCCAATGAAGGTGATGAAAGCAAGTTACCTCTGCAGTTAGCAATTGTGGGACGTCCTAATGTTGGGAAGTCGACCCTGCTTAATGCCTTATTGCAAGAACAAAGAGTTCTGGTTGGTCCAGAGTCAGGCTTAACAAGGGACTCCATCCGGGCTAAGTTTCAATTTGACAACAGAACTGTATATTTGGTAAGTTAACTTGCTATATGAGAGTTTAATAGTATCTTTTGGATGCCTTTTCCTATATGGCTATAGCTGCTGTGTTAGAGCTTACGACATAATGTTCATTCAGGCTGTCTCCATTTTCATGAATTGACCTTTTCTTTCTTGTTGCGATGCAGGTGGATACTGCTGGTTGGATGGAAAGAGCGGGAAAGGAGAAAGGGCCATCATCACTAAGTGTGGTACAATCAAGAAAGAACCTGATGAGAGCTCATATTGTAGCTCTTGTGCTTGATGCAGAGAAGGTACTTGCACTCATTCAGATGTACACTAGAATGTGACCTAAAGTTCTGGCTAGTATGCTCCCTTTTATGTGGTTAAGGGGAAACATTTTCAGTGCTATTCTTTTTTGTTTATTCGGAGGTCTTGTCGATTACAACGAGTTG